GATTTGATGTCCAATAATATATGTACGTCTATCTGTATCTGCTGGGTCTAGGTGTGTGTGTGTGTGTGTGTGTGTGTGTGTGTGGTGTGTGTGCGCGCGCGCGCGTGTGTGTGTATGTGTGTTGCGTGCGTGCGTGCGTGCGTGCGTGTGTGTGTGTGTTGTGCGTGGCGTGCGTGCGCGCGTGGCGCGTGCCGTGCGTGTGTGTGTTGTGTGTGGTCTGTGTGTGTGCGTACATGTAGTACGCTCTATCTGTATCTGTTCATATGTGTGTGTTTGCAGGCGGTGCTGTGTTTCCATGAATAAAGTACCTGTCCGGCGCCTACACTCGTACGTAGCTACGACTCGATTACCGACCTCTGCTCTTACACGTAACGTGATTCAGAGAGAGCTGCCTTCATAGCCGGAAGCGTACCCGACGCCAAGGTAAGTGAGATATAGAAGGGAAGGGATGAGGGAGGGTTGGATGTACGGGAGAGAGAGAGTTGGTAAAGAAAGAGGTGGAGGGATGAGGGAGGGTGATGTAGAAGAGAGAGAGGAAGATGGGTAAAGCGAGGGGGGGGCTGAGGAGGGAGTGATGTAGGGAGAGAGAAGAGATGGGTAAGAGAGAGGGGAGGGATGAGGGAGGGTGATGTAGGGCGAGAGAGAGATGGGTAAAGAGGGGGAGAAGATGAGCGGACGGTGATGTAGGAGAGAGAGAGATGGGCCTTAAGCCAAAGAGGGGAGGGATGAGGGAGGGTGATGTAAGGGAGAGAGAGAGAGATGGTAAGAGAGAGGGGAGGATGAGGAGGGTGTGTAGGAGGAGAGAGAATGGGTAAGCAGATGAGGGCGGACGGGGATGAGGAGGGTGATGTCAGGGAGAGAGAGAGATGGGTAAGAGAGAGGGGGGGGGGATGAGGAGGGTGATGTAGGGAGAGAGAGAGAGGTAAAGGAGGGAGGGATGAGGAGGGTGATTGTAGGGAGAGAGAAGATGAGGTAAAGAGAGAGGGAGGGATGAGGAGGGTGATGTAGAGAGAGAGAGAGAGATGGGTAAGAGAGAGGGGGAGGATGAGGGAGGCGTTGATGTAGGGAGAAAAGCATGAGTTGGGTAAGAAAGAGGGGAGGGATGAGGGAGGTGATGTAGGAGAGAGAGATGAGATGGGTTAAGAGAGAGGGGAGGGATGAGGGAGGGTGATGTAGGGAGAGAGAGAGATGGGTAAGAGAGAGGGGGAGGGATGAGGGAGGGTGATGTAGGGAGAAGGAATGGGTAACGAGAGAGGGGGAGGATGAGGGAGGGTGAGTAGGGATGAGAGAGATGGGTAACGAGAGAGGGGGAGGGAAATGAGGGAGGGTGATGTAGGGAAGAGAGAGAGATCTGGGTAAAGAGAGAGAGGGGGAGGGATGAGGGAGGGTGATGTAGGGAGAGAGAGAGAGATGGGTAAGAAGAGGGGGAGGGATGGAAGGGAGGGGAATGTAGAGAGAGAGAGAGAGATGGGTAAGAAGCAGAGGGAGGGATGAGGGAGGGTGATGTAGGGAGAGAGAGAGATCGCGGTAAGAAGAGGGGAGGGACTGAGGAGGGGATGTAGGGAGAGAGAGAGAGGGTTATAGAAAGAGGAGGATGAGGGAAGGGTGATTGTAGGGAGAGAAGAGAGATGGGTAAGCAGAGAGGGGGAGGGATGAGGGAGGGTGAATTGTAGGGAAGAGAGAGATGAGGTAAGAGAGAGGGGGAGGGATGTGAGGGAGGTGATGTAGGAAGAGAGCAGAGAAGATGGGGTAAGAGAGAGGGGAGGGATGAGCGGAGGGTGGATGTAGGAGAGATTAGAGAGAGGGGTAAAAAGGAAGGGGGAGGATGAGGGAGGGATGTAGGGAGAAGGAGAGAAGATGGGACGAAAGAGGGGGAGGGATAGGAGGGTGATGTAGGGAGAGAGAGAGAGACTGGCGTAAGAAAGAGGGGATGATGAGGGAGGGTGGATGTAGGGAGAGAGAGAGAGATGGGTAACGAGATGAGGGGGAAGGATGAGGGAGGGTGATGTAGCGAGAGAGAGAGATGGGTAGAAAGAGGGGAGGGATGAGGCGAGGTGATGTAGGAGAGAGAGAGATGGGTAGAAGAGGGGAGGGTATGAGGGAGGTGACTGTAGGGAGACGAGAGAGAGATGGTAAGAAAGAGGGGGATGATGAGGGAGGGTGATGTAGTGGAAGAGAGAGAGCATGGGTAAGAAAGAGGGGGCCGGGATGCGGAGGGGTGTGTAGGAGAGAGAGAGAGATGGGTAGAGAGAGGGAGAGAGGAGGGGAGGGTGATGTAGGGAGAGAGATAGATGGGTAGAAGAGAGGGGGAGGGATGAAGGGAGGTTTGTAGGAGTGAGAGAAGAATGCGGTAAGAGGAGGCAGGGGGAGGGATGAGGAGGTTTGGTGGATGTAGGGAGAGAGAGAGATGGTAAGAAGAGGGGAGGATTGAGGATGGGTGATGTAGGGGAGAGAGATATGGTAGGAAACAGGAGGGGGAGGGATGAGGGAAGGTGATGTGAGGGAAGAGAGAGATAGGTAAGGAGAGGGGGAGAGATGAGAGAATGTGATGTAGGGAGCGAGAGAGATGGGTAAGAGAGAGGGTGGAAATAGAGATGTGATGTAGGAGAGAGGAGCTAGAGATGGGGAGCGGGTGGAACCGAAACGAAGGAAACAAGAGCGAGCTACAGATAGAGAGAGGGGTGGGGAGAGAAAGGGAGAGAGGAGAGAGGAGGATAATAGAGAGAGAGCCGAGACGCGAGACAGAAAAGAGGGAGAGACGGCAATAGAGAGACGAAAGAGAGAGGGAGAGAGAGAGAGGAGAGAGAGAGAGAGAGAGAGAGAGAGAGGGGTGAGAGAGAGAGAGTGAGAGGAGAGAAATGGGAAGCACAATAGACATAGAATGAGGGGGAGAGAAAGAACCGAGCGGGAAGCGAAGAAAGAGAGGGAGAAGGAGAGAGAGGAGAGGAGAGAAGAGGAGAGCAGAAGAGAGAGCGCGATCAGACGGACTGAAGGGATGAGGAGAAAAAGAAATGAAGAAAAATTGGCGTGAAAATGACATAAAAGGCATAAAAGGTGATTCGTTGGTTACGACGGTTTATATATACGGTTTAATGCGGCAAATTCTCAGCTAGAATTTATACTCGACGTGAAGAGAGACCCATTACAACGAAGGACTACACCGGAAGGTCAAATGGAAAGTGTTAAGCTGGGTGAGTGGAGACCCCACACCACACGAAACATGCACACACCACCAACACGGCGCGCGCACACACACCAT